TCGTGGCGTTCTCGACCCACACGCACTCGACAGGGGCCGAGCGGTAGCCGGCGCAACGATCACACTATCGAAGAGTTAGTATCGAACCGCTTCGACGAAGAGTCGAGCTTACCTTCTGTCCCGACTGGCGCTTCTCAAGCGCAACGGCGGCCATGTCGACCTCCGTCATCACGAACGGGCGTTCGACCGTCCGAGGAGTCTTCTACGAAAGAAAGATTAGTAATCGAAGGACGGTAGAAGAGAAACTCTTACGATCGAAGGGTCGTCCGACAACTCGGTGACCTCCTCGTCGACCCTCGCGCGCCCCTTCCCCTTGTCGACACCGGCAGGCGCGGGGTCAGAGAGAAGGCCTTCGGCGGCCGCGATCCGCGCCAACTCCTCATCGGCGGCCTCTTGCGCGCGACGTTCGTCTTCAAGGCGCAATTCCTCTTCCTCCTTCCGACGCCGTTCGTCTTCGAGGCGACGTTCTTCGGCGGCCTTCGCACGCTTCGCGGCCTCTTCGATGCGTCGTGCTTCCTCTTCGGCGAGGTGCTTCTGCTCTTCGACGCGTCGTTCGACCTCGGCGTCGATGGCGATCGCGAGCTCGGGCCAGTCCCCGCGCGCCCACTCGACCCACGATTCCGATGCCCGCCCGGCGAGCTGCTTGACGGCGGCGGCGACGCGCAACTCCGTCTCCTCGTCGCGGATCGCGCCCAAGGCCTTGCGATAGGCAAGCTGTTCGAAAACAAACGGTTAGTTGGGTTATGCAGATTACGAAGCGACTTACGACGAGCGGCGACAAATCCTGTGCCCACTCTTCGACCACGTCGAGCGCGGCATCGGCGGTCGGCGGAGCCTCGAGAACCACGAGCAGCGCGGCGAGGCGGCGGTTGACGAGCGAAGGCGTTGAGGCAGGGGTGGCGGAACGAGCAGACATCGTGGAAGCAGCGAGTATGCGAGAGAGGGCGACGAGGTAGCGACGAAGGAACGATGGGATGGGGAAAATGAGGCTAAGTCTACCCTGCTTATAACCCCGTTCCGACCAGCGTTTAGCGCCGGCCACGTGGCGTTCGAAACCGACGCGGGTTGTCAAGCCGCTTCGACCCGTTCACGACCATCGCGCTTCTCGCATCACGTGGAGGACCGAGGGCGGTCCAAATTTCAATAGGGAGGAGATGATAGGCGCCGAGCCCCGCTGGGCCCCGATACACCTCTTTTCGGCACTCACATCCCGCCCGGCACTTCGACTCAGTCTCCCAACACTTCGATTTCGCCTTCGACGCTCTTCGACACCTTCGACGGTGCGCGACGCTTACTCGAAGCTCGGCACGGTCGTCCCGATGCCTCGCGCGTAGACCCCGGGACATCTTCCGCATTCGGCGAACAATAGGGCCACTTGACGCCATTCGGCCAAGCGCGCGCATCGCTCCAAGCCACACCGACGTAGCCGGTCTTTCCCGATTAGGTATCGAACCTCGCGACATGCCTTCAACGACGGACACCGGTCCGAAGTGTCCATATGTTTCTCTTCATCTCCGCATTCGGCATGACGTCACTCTACCGATGGACTTGATGTGTGCCACTCGGTGAGGCAGCTTTGTGAGGAACAATGCAAAGCCCCTTGTACCAGTGTGCCACTTTCGATAGTCGTAGCGTCCTGTGTAGTATAAAATCTGTCGTACTTCTCTCCAAAAACAACAAGATCCGGTTCCCCCCCCCTCGAGTTTAGAGCTCATAAGTCGAGTTCGCCCCGCGTCTAAGCTTTCAACTGCGTCACTTCGTCCCTCGCTGCGTAACTTCGAAACCTCGTCCACTGCGTTTACTCGTCGATACCGTCTCGACGAACCCTTCGACTTCGACTATCGTCGAAGAAACTACGAACCGCGTCCTAGTTAAGTCCCCCCTATCGAATCGTGTCCCTTCTCTCTACGATACATCGAAGAGCTCTGCCGAGCTTCGATCATCGCTAACTTTCCACAGCCTCCGAGTAGCTTCGACGACGTGTCGAAGCCACCTCGTACCTTCCCTAGTGTTCGTAGCCTTTTCCAAGAACGTTTCTCGTGTTCACTCGAAACGCGGGACACCTTGCTGCTAACTCCCCTCTCACTAGACTATAATCCGTCTCTCTAGTCCCTTTAGGTCGCACCCAGGTTAGGGGTTAGGGTTTCGTAGGTCGTATCAACGTCGAGTTCGAGTTCGGTCCGGAGCAAATCGCGGCGCAGGAAGACCTCAAGGACGCGCTACTCTCATCCCCAGCACTCCGAGCCATTAATTATGATTCCCCCTCTCCCGTCATTCTCGCAGTCGACACGTCGTTCATCGCCGTCGGATATCACCTCTGCCAGTGCGACGAAGCCAACACGCGCGTCCGTTACTACAGCAGGTTCGGCTCGATCACACTCAACGATCGCGAACGAAGGTTTTCACAGCCGAAGCTCGAGATCTACGGCCTATTCCGCGCACTACGATCCCTTCGACTCTACCTGATCGGCGTCCGAAACCTCATCGTCGAAGTCGATGCTCGGTACATCAAGGGTATGCTGAAGAATCCGGACATAGCCCCAAGCGCGAGTATCAACCGGTGGATTGTCTCGATTCTCACATTCCATTTCACGCTAGTCCACGTCCCCGGTACAATGCACGGCCCCGACGGCCTCTCTCGACGCACAGCTCAACCCGGTGATGTCATCGAAGACGAGGTTGACGAAGAGTTCGACGATTGGATCGACCAGATGCATTCTTTCGTTCACCAGATCCAGCCCCTCCCGTCCGTCCAGTTGCTAGCCATCTTCACCAATGACAGAGCCGAGGACGGCTCAGATTTCAATAGGGAGGAGGATAGCTACAAGCTAGTGCCTCGATCGGAGCAAGCACAACTCGCCGACGCGAAGCTCGACGACGTGCTCGAATTTCATCGAACGTTAGCAAAGCCCGACGGCATCTCCGAAAGCGTTTACGAAGGATTCATCAAATACTGCATGCAATTCTTCCTCGACAACGACACCCTCTGGCGCAAGGACAGTCACGGAGCACACAAGCTAGTCGTCAAGCCCGGCGATCGCCTTCGAATACTTCGAGAATGCCACGACCGCACCGCGCATCGAGGAATCTATGCAACCCGAGCCTTCGTCAATGAGCGATTCTGGTGGCCGTTCCACTACGCCGACATCGCCTGGTTTGTTCGATCGTGCCATATCTGCCAGTCTCGACAAGTGCGTCAAATCCTCATTCCTCCAACCGTCGCAGTACCAGCCCCCATCTTCGCTAAAATTCACATCGACACAATGCACATGCCGGCCTCGGGCGGATACAAGTACTTGGTCCAAGGTAGATGCTCGCTCACGACTTACCCCGAGTTTCGAATGCTTCGAAAAGAGACAGCAAAGGCCCTCGCCGACTGGATCTTCGAAGACATCC